TGTAGTTTTTTATTATTAAAAATATAACCATGAACCTCCATTAACATGATATATCATATCAAGTGTTCCCATCATCTAACTACTACTACTACTACTACTCATGGCCAGGTGGTTAGAAAACTGAAAGCGTACGTTGAGGGTCACCTAGGGTCCGACCAGACCCCAACACAAATGTATCCTTATAGTAAACCATGGATTGAAAATCCAATAAGCAGTTTATTTACCACAAACAAAGTTTCTGTAAAATAGGGTATTATAAGCAGTCATCACAGAGAACATCTGTTGAGGAATGAGATGCGCGAACATGCTTACCACAACGATGTTATAAACAAACAGACGAGATGATACTGTACTACTTTGATGGATTATCCTCCATAACAGCCTATATGCTGAAATAAACATTTAAAAGTTTGTCTTAAAGGCGAACTGCATGTATGGTGATGGTCAATGATGTTGTGGGGTCTGCATGGACCCCAGATAAATATTAGATTGTAGCTACGGACTTCGTTGGCCTTTTTTGAAAATAATAGTGTCATAGAGTTTCTGTTTAAAAATTACATGGCTTTATATACATTTGTAATGATAATGTAATAAGATTAACAACTGAGAAAGAGGTTGGATCCATGAGGACCCCAGGTGTGCTGATTAGGGATAAGTAATGTCTCTTAGCAAAGGAATAAAATCTATGCTACTGATATTATATTATATTATAAAGCAAACAAAATAGAATTTTCTGTCAAAAATAAAATGTTTAAACTTAAGTTTCTCATAGATTACCGGTTTTCTTTAAACATGACAGCAAGATTTTAACAACTAAGCAGCTAGTGTAGGTCTTGGGATAAATCTTGCTTATGATGTCTAGGTACCCATATAATTCTGAGGAGCCACTGTGAGTCGTCTTTAGTTCTGTCAACAAGCTTTCTGATAGAAAGCCCGGTTTTGTAGCCGTTTTATAAGGTTTTCGCTTATGTTTTATTTATTTGGTTGGAATGCAGTATTTTCATATGTGAATACGTCTTGCAGATGTTCTTATACTTTAGGTTTGTAGATACTCCGTGAAGAAACTACAGAATATTTTATCTGTATTTAAATAGTGGTAATTTTTTTAAGCCAGGAGTAAGATTATGTTTCCAAAAAAAAAAAAGAAAAAAATCATTCAAACTTCTCAGTTCAAGTCTTAACAGAATCCACCCCCCTCATTCCCTGTATCTTTTTGAAAAGAGATTTTGTCCAAAGCACAGAATACCGAACTCGCAAATTAACGTGTCTCTGTGATATACATTCATTTGTAAACATAATTTCTGTCGAGGTCTCATTTGGTCGCTACTTTGAAGTGCATGTATGAACATGTAGTCTTAGATGCATCGTCACTGATAACCATGATTACGATCTTACCTAATTAATATTAAACAATAATTTTTGTAGTAAATAAACTATTTAATTGAACATGTCTCATGTAGGCCTACTCGTTTTTAGTACTTGATAACTGTTTCCTTCATACGATACTTGCATAATATTACATAAACGTCATGATCCTGACATGTCACAGCAGATATAGGTAGTGCCTGTAATTTTTAGTAGAGATATATAATATTGTCAGTAATAAGCCAGACAATACGCAGTGACTTTTAACGTAATAGGAAGTTCTCATGGTTGTTGCAATGACCCAGGGCTATTAAAGTATTTGGTGAAACCCCATAATTACAGAATTGAGGAAACACAAGACAATTGTACGTTTCACAAATACATCATTTATTCACGATCATGGTTTCGCCAGTAAAGGCATCACCAGGTACAATTGTTTTGTTTTTCCTCAATTCTGAAAGTAATATTTTAATCTCAATTTATTTCTAAAGCATTCAATACAATAATTGTTTATTTTAGAACAAAGCTACACAATAGTGTTTCTGTTCGCTACGAGGAATCAAACCCCGGATTTTAGCGTTGTAAATCTGTGGAGCTACAGCTGACCCACTGGGGACAATACAGTACTAACGGAAGAGCAAAGTTTCTTTAAATCAAAAACAAAACAAACAAAAACTTTTGCCCTTTCTGGAAACTTTTGAAAACGAATCTACACTCATTCCAGTTTTGTATCTGTAAAAATGAACTAATATTTAACTCTGGTAAATGAAGTAAAAATGTCGGAAGATCCATTGTTATGAATGTAAGTTTCACAAAAAATATACGTGATAGAACTTCACGTTTTTACAACAGTTTAAACTAATTACAAAAACTCAATTTTCCCTACCTGGTACTTTTAAATCACTGCGTTAGAAAGGAAAAGGCTCCTCATTAGCCAAAATTGCAAATAGACTATTCCTCAGCCAATTATGATGTGAAGAAATGCTTATTACTGGAAGTTATTTTAACATAACTTTCATGGTTACAATAGATCAATTGGAGAGTGGAAAGAAATTAAACACAGCATTCAAACAATGGCAAAGCTTTGGGAACAGGCACAAAAACAATGGAAATACACAGTACATTTTGTATGTTGGTGGTGCGCCTGCATTACTTTGTACTACTGACGTTGCGCCCCGTGCAGGAAAACAACCTTTAGTTTTGTCTGAGTTTGCTAAAAATTGCATGCAACTCGTAAACTGAATTTAAAAACAAAAGGATAACTCTCTTAATTAGCCTATTGAAAACTACGAAGATAAAAGCACGTGATAGCCGTAATGATAAACATAAAATCCAGTCATGAAATATCACTAAATAATAAACACTGTTATAACTACTGACATTTGATGATTCGTTATGACAAAATAACAATTAGATATACTCCATTTTCTGTTATTCACAAGAATAAACTAATTAATATTGATCTCAACAAAAAAATATTACATTTAGAGTCTAGTTTTTATATACACTTCAATTCCATAAAATATAATTGTGAAATAATAAAAATATCAAGTTGCGTCAGCGTGTATAGGAAATAATAGGATTATTCGCAGCCAAAACTACAATAAACGTGAAATCGTATTATTTAAGGTCATATTTAAATATCCTACTTAGAAATTCAATTCATTTACTTTAATCTAAAAATGCGGATATGCCCGACATCTACCGTAATATATGAGAGTTACTTATTTGACAAAGGGACTACATTGTAATATCTGACCTTATCGGTCGGTTTTCCTAACTCTTGAAAAAAATATAGCCTTTTGTGCTTTGTATCATACCTTTTGTTTTGTTTTAGTAAAATTCGTTTCATATGTAGTTTCTCTATATTATATTACTTTGATCTGGACTATTTCATCTTTAATATATTTACAGAGAGAGAGAGAAATAGATATGTAAAAAGACGTTTAAAAAGAGAGAATAAAAGAGACATAAAAAAGGATAAAATAAATCAAAGAGACATGTAAACCTGCTATTTAGCAGTGAACATACAGATAGATAGAATTAATTTAAAATGTGTCTAGAAAGGAACGAAACGTTTCTCTACTTGCTACATTTTATTAAAAACTTTAACATTAGTAATGAATCTTGCGCTAGAATAACGATTAAAAACAACAACAACAACAGTTGATTCCATTACTTTTACCTTTCAGTTTTTTAACTTGAAATATTATTCAATAAATTGATTTATGATCTTTAAAAAAAATAAATATACTTTGGTATTGTCTGAGTATTGTACTAGCATATGTAACTGAAAGATAGACTTGATTGTATCAAAAATTATTTCAAAGTACCTCAAAAAACGATTCTAGCATTTTTCAGGATCGCCCGTGTTTTCAGAAGCGAATTTTATTTTTGTAAATCTATAAAACGATTTCTTTTTCAGTTTTAGTATTATTTGAAGCAGTGAAAGCGTGAATTAGTTATAATTAAGTTTCATTTCGTTAACATTTTGGGACGTTTTGTATTCACGGTAAAGCTTCTACCGCCGTAACATAATGACCACAGGGAAGGCAGTCAGTCAACAGCACCCTACCACTCACAATAAATGGTTGACTGTCATTCTTACAACACATTCACAGCTTAAAGTGCAGGGGATATTAGAATATTTCGTGGTACCGCACGGATTCGAACTGACTTGTTAGCTCCAAAATCCAGAGCTCTATCACAAAGTTATTTAATTGAAACGACTGCGTTTTTAGGGGGGGTCCACCTATCAATTGCAAGGTGATTTTAATTGAGTAAGGAAAAAGAGAGGGTCAAAATGAGTCTTTATAGCTCTGTTGGATGACCTTACTTGCTAAATGGATGAAAAAATTATCTTACATCAAAGCATAAAAGAGTTTCTTTGTTATACTGAACTTTAATATAAACATGGACATTTGACTTGGGTAAATAAGATATAAATTATAGCCAGGGGGTGTATGTTGCCTGTATGAAAGTAACGGGTACAAGAAAATTGTAAAGGACTTAAATCTTCGAAGGTTAAAAGAAAAATATGGTTAGGCAAATAAGGCTACAAATTGGTTTTGTACGAAACTATGCCATACTAAACAATTATGAGAACCAAGATGATTAGAAATCAATGTACTAGTCACAACTTACTGCATGAATGCATAAAATATCTATTCACTACGTTCTTTGGGGGAAAAAAAACTCAGCTAAGAAATGCCCTTTTTTTTGTTTAGTTATACTTTGAAAGATAGCGCGCTTTAATGGAGAATGAGCGAGACTACCGTATCTAATGGCAAAATGAAAGTCAAATATTAGAATATCGTACTACTCTGCCACTGAAGCGTAGATTGTGTGCAGAAGCATGGCTCAGGTGGACTTACGCGACAGCATTTATGGGTACCAAGGTCGGACCTCACTAGGCCATGTCTATTATTGTAGCTAACTGAGCGGTCAGTGATGTAGCTCCTCCAAGTGGCCAGAGTGAGGGTGGAGGAGCCTCGCCCTTCCTGGTGTACTCCAATTAATGGTCTGATTCCGGAGCACTATATAAGTCTTCCAACAGTTGGTGATACCATTGTCCCAGAGCTTGACAGAACAGAAAACTGTAACGAGGTTTTAAGACTCCAACCATTTTCAACACCATGATTGCTAAGGTAAGTAGACTACTAGTCTAGTATTGTGACTGCCTAATTTTTATACATTTGAAAAGAGACTAATAGAGACTAATATTTCAGTATCTATCTATTTACCTACCCATTTGTCTATATATTTATTTTACAGAGTTTCGTGTTCATCGCTGTTGTAACAACAGTATATGCCGGTGTCCATCACGGTGGTCAGAGTATGACCCATAGACAGCAAGATGTAAGTACGTTTAAACTTCAACTTAAATGCTTGTTATTTCATTAAGAAATAAATGACGCAGATTGAAATTCGAGCTAACATATTGAACGCAATTATAGTTTGGTTGAAGTTGAACATGGAAATACATACTTTGAAAATTTTGTACTGCAGAACACAATAAAACTACATTTATTGTCTACTACTTTTAATATATAGTGGCATTTTTATTGGGTGAATAAACTACATCAGGCAGAGTTATAACAAGAATGTATGTAGTATTTAAATGTTTTCTCGCACTGTATTATTTCCTGTTAATCAGTGTGTTATTAATTCCTGCTAGCATATATTGAGTAAATATGTATTGTTTTTTTAGGACCACGGCAACTACAACTTTGGTTATGATATTGTTGATCCTTACGGGGCCAAAAATTTCAGGAAAGAGCAAGGTGACGGCTACGGAAACAAGGTTGGTTCCTACGGTCTCCACGACATTGATGGCCGAGTACGACTTGTAAATTACGTAGCTGATGGTCGTGGTTTCCACGTTAAAGTCCAGTCGAACGAGCCTGGAGTTTCCGGTCAAGATTCAGCTTACGCTATCTATAATGGTCGTGACCACGGAGGTCATGGCGGTGGGGTGATCCATGCAGGCGGATTACGTATTGCTCATGCTCCAGTCGTGGCCAAAGTGCCCGTAGCTGTTGGAGGCTATGGTTATGGCCATGGGCCAGCCACTGGTCACGGAGGTTACGGATATGGTCATTAATTTCCTTCTACAGACGTTAAAACAGTTGTATATTAGTGTTTCTACTTCGTGGATTACAGATTAACTGTGGCTTGGTTAGAGCGATGCATATTTTTGACGTAATTGCATATAATTCAACTGTATCTGTATATTTGTATTTTGATTAGAAAAACATGTAAAGTATAAGAGGCGTTCGTATCATAAAGGGAAATACCGTTTTACTCAGTGCTACATACGCTCCACGCACAATAACGTAATCAATATCTTTATTTGCTTTAGAGTGCGCGAGCTACTATCTACAACACGAAACCTAAATGCCTTGTCTGAAAGTCATTTTGTTCTTTAAATGGTAAATAAATCCTTTTAAGGAACTCAGTTTAATACGACAAAAATATTTTTGCTTTACGAAATTTGTAATTATATGAATATATTACACGTTCTAAGTTTCTTCTATATTAGATTGTTATTTAGAAGGTTTTAAATATTTTCTTTATATAGCTATAATTCTTCAGCTTATATAGCATACTGTAAGAAAGTCGAGTTTTTTTGTTTTGCTTAAAATGTGTAGCTTTATGTACGAGTATATTCTTAGGCTGGTGTATTGTATTCATTATGCTACTCAGGCATATGATGCACAGAATAAAATAAAGATGCGTATATAATATCGCCTTGTTTTCGAGAATTCGCTTGGATCATGAAACAGTCAGAAACTTAATAAGCTAAAATGGGTCTAACTTATTGACACACACACCAAACTATTTTTCTCTTGCTGTGTTAAAAGTAACAAAAAATATACTTGCTAACAAAAAAAAATTAAAGAAAGATATACCTTTTAAAGGTTTTATCTGGAACACTAACTATATCCAGCGCAATCCTTTTATAATATGTTATTTTATGGTAATTTCGTATATATTTTTATATTTCTCGGTATTTTTGGAATTACAGATGGCAGCACAACTGGCTATAAAATTTTTACTCCCTTATTATTTCTGGATGCTAAATTATATTTCATTACAGCTTTGTTTGGGATAAATATCAATGCTTATTTTTTTAGGAAATTTATTATTTATACATTTTTTTATTTCCTCCTTTTATAGTCTTTCTAAAAAAAACGGTAATAAGGGTAAAAAGTATTGGATGTGAAAGACGATGAATAATATTTTAGTGTTTGATGACTTTTACTTAATGGTGATAGTTTTCATTCAAGCAAAAGTTTTAGTAGCATTATATATATATATATATATAAATAAACGATTGACGTATTTCTTAAATGAAAAACAAAATATTATAACAGAAATATTTTTAGTAAAGTTATACTAATTTATCTTAATTAAATAGGCACTGGTAAGCAGCGTGTTTTACATTATTCAATTATTTAGTTTTAGAGCGCAATTAACATATTGGAGTGTGTTTGGGTCAATAGATGGCGACACAGAGATTGATACAAATCGTTATTAGAAACTTTTTTTCGGCCCGGCATGGCCAGGTGGTTAGGGCGCTTGACTTGCAATCTGCGGATCGCGGGTTCGAATCCCCGTCCCACCAAACTTGCTCGACCTTTCAGCTGTGCGGACGTTATATGTGATGGTCAAACCCCACTCTTAGTTGATAAAAGAGTAACCCAAGAGTTGGCGGTTGGTGGTGATGACTAGCTGCTTTCCCTCTAGTCTTCCATTGTTAAATTAGGGACGGCTAGAGCAGAGAGCCCTCGTGCAGCTTTCTGTGGAATTCATAACAAACAACACTTTTTTTTTGTCAGTAAAAAAATTATTAGTCCACGAAAAAAAATTATTTTCCACATTTTGCAAGATAAAAATGTTTTCGAGCGAAAACACATAGAGAAAGAGGGTTTTAATTCTGACATCGGTAGGCCTCACATTTCTTACCTTATTATGTTTGACAAAATATTAATTAAATAAGCTGTTGGGAAAGTTCTATGACATAAAATTCTTACACTTTCTCTATCAAATTAACTATTTTCATAATTCATTGATCACCGAATGAATTATATATAAATATAAAGCAGAGTTGCGTGTCTGTCTGGTGTCACAAGAGGTTGTCAGGAATTAGTTATACCAGTTTCGACGTAGATATGTAGAGGAACTCATGTAATTCTGAAAAATCAAGTTTAAATGTAATCAGACGAATAGCCTGAATCTGAATTTCATTTTTACCGCGTTAATGCCGTGAAAGAGGCCACAACTGAGCGAATGTGTAGACAGTAAAATACGTGTAGCTGGCGCGAATTGAAAATGACGTTTAATGCTGGGCGTAGCATGGGTACCATTTTCTGCATTACATTTGCAGAATATTTGCTAATATTATATAGAATATTGGAAATAGAAAAATGATTTAATATTGCATTTGAGTACAGTGAAAAATTAAATTAGGACAATGAGTTTTATTCATGCTGATAATTTGAATTATGGCACTGATTAATTTTTCACTGAATTCAAATAATAAATTAAATACTTTTTCCATTTCCAATACTTTTAAACTTATTTCATATAATGTTTCTAAATACCATAAATAATTTGAGGTTTGACCACTTTAATTAATCCACTACTATAATTGATTATTGATGAATTATTTATATTATAATTGTGAATTAATAACCTACGAAAGTTGTCTAACGTGATATCAATGGTATTTATTATGCATTACGTTAAATATTTGTTAACTTCAGTCTGCTACAAATATCTAATATTAGTTAATAAAAATACTTTATTAATCAGTAACTGCTGTTAGTCCAGGAAAAATATGTTTCAGACTACAAAATGTTCAATTTCCCCATATAACACACTAGTCGAGGGTTCGAATCTCATAACCAAACATGCATACCCTTTCATCCGTGGTTGCGTTATAATGATTAGAGTAATGGAAGAGTTGATGATGTTAAAGAGCTTCATTTCCTCCAGTTTATCACTTCAAAATTATGGACAGCTTTCGAATAGCTTTGCATGAATTGAATAAACAAAAATATACACGAATCTCCGCTGAATTGAAAGTCATACTGACTTATACAGTTGAAAACAACAGAGAAAGTTCTTTCTTGACGTATTTAGATCACTAGCCTGTGATTGGTCGAAGCTGAGATATACACAATTACATCACACCACGACAACTGAGATTGAGAAACAGTGATTGGCTAAAAGTAGATTATACAACACTTGTTACAAGGTCCAATTAGCCCTCATGGGTGTATAGGGTGCGAGCTAGATAGGCTTAAAGTCATAATTTAGCGTGAAACTTCTACCATGTTGAAGGGATACAAGTCTAAGCGGTAAAGCCTAAAGGTAATAGTACCAGGTCAGACAAGTGAGTGAAATACAAGTTTTAAAACATGACTAGATTACGTGTCATCTGAGCAAAAAACATTGTTTTTCAAGTTTATTGAAAATGTTCTATATTTATACATAATCGTTTCTAGAGGATCACATTTTGATTCACTGCCTTTTCTTAGAGTATGAATGGAGCATATGTAATATAACTGTATAATTTACTAATATGATATACTCGTAATTTGTATAATATTCCTATAAGTAGTGTAACCTATGAAAAGTTATGAATATCTATGTCATATTGGAATTCAGTTGCAATGTATCCTAATTTAAATATATCAGTGCGTTTTTTTTTCAATTTAGTATCATGATATTGTTGTAAGCTTTATTTTTAATGTTGTAATTGGTTAACTAGAGGGCGTAGAACGCCTAGAAAGTTCGAATTATCTGACGTCAAATTTAGAGGGGTAGATTATAAATACGAAGTCCCGTCAAGTATCGTTAGATTGGTTAGAATTGTAATTTTCAATAATACAGTAGTTTGTTTTCAAGCTAGAAAACCGGCTAGTGTTATAGCAATCGCTGTTACTTTGTCTAAGTAAGTTGATTTGTTTTGTGTTATTTAACCTCATTTGAATCATTGGTCTACAACAAATTTATGGCAGTATACCAGTGTTCAAGTTTGTCAAAATGTTAAAGGAGGAAATAAAGTAATTTGCTATTGTTATAAGTGGATTGAACTATGAATTATTTTCATCAGATAATTTAAAATAACCTGTCTGTTAAAGGAGGAAATAAAGTAATTTGCTATTGTTATAAGTGGATTGAAAGATGAATTATTTTCATCAGAGGATTTAAAATAACCTGTCTGTTAAAGGAGGAAATAAAGTAATTTGGTATTGTTATAAATGGATTGAAAGATGAATTATTTTTATCAGAGGATTTAAAATAACCTGCGAACGAGAGAACAACGCTACTAGAAGGTTATAAATTATGTAGTAAATAAACTTTTGTGAATAAAAGGACTTACAATACATTGTTTCATTACCTTTATTTTTCATCAAAAACAAGCATATAAAAACTTGCTAAGTTTCTGTAATGTTGATTACATTATCTTCTGTAATGTTAGATCTTTTGATACAGGTAAATCTTAACAGAAATGTATAATTTGGGTACAGATAACTTCTTAGCTTTGTTTACGAGACAGACACACACACAAAAATAACAACAATTACGTATAAGTTACAATATTTAATTCCTCTAAACCTGACATTGTTATGTAGCAGGAAGGACTAAGACCTGTCGCCCCCCCCCAGTGGCACAACGGTATGTCTGAGGATTTACAACGCTAGAATCCGGGTTTCGATACCCGTGGTGGGCAGAGCACAGATAGCCCATTGTGTAGCTTTGTGCTTAATTACAGACAAACAAACATAAGACCTGTCGCCCTACGTAAAATTTTAATCATACATATCTAGTGGTTAAAGTTGTGAGATATACCTTTAAGAATTAAGATTAATTAAACAAAATGTCTCCCCCAAAATTTAACTTTACGTTGTTTTTTTTTTCACTTTAGGCCTAGGCTTTATTTCGATAAGTACAAAAAAAAATCATGATTTAAAACCTACTTTGTATGCAACATGACTACTAACAGATAGAACTATAATTTTGTAAAGAAACAAATTATTTATATTTTCCGATTATTACAATTGGTTGCAAATCACTGCTGTCTTCTTAATA